AACTAGTAGATAATTAGTACATGTGGTAGTACTTTGTGAGGTCCAAGAATAGTTCCATAATCTCTAATGATTCCATAAATTATTTGATGAAACTCCTGGCATGTGCAGCAGTCGCAACAGAATTCAGCATATCGGTTTATAAATTACTGAAGATTTAAAAATTCAGTTTATCAAAAGTAAGAAAAATAAGTTTTGATGTAGTAGGCCAAAGCCAACTCTGAGACTACAGACCTACTTATATATTTATAAAACAGAATTTATTTGATGCTACCTGTCTGTCTCCATTGATCGAGTTAATAACACTCATTGAATTCATGATTATGTAGTTGATAATGTATTTACCCATAAGCATGAACACATCGTGAACCACAGTTCCTACTTGCCAAAATAGCTTTCTTGTTTAACTGTGCATCAGACTAATTAGCACCATATAGTTCGGTTAGATCTGCAACCCTTTGTGGTAGTAAATTATATATATGTATTGCTGGAAATACTCGTGTACTTGTGCATATATCATTTATTAACATAAAGACATACTACATAGATAGAGATATAAGTACACACATACCTAATTATCTGTCTAGCTATCTGTCTGTCTGTCTGTCTAGTATGGCTTTATGTTAAAAATGATCATTTATGTCTTTCACTTTCCTAGGTGGCTTGTGGGAAAAGTTCTTGCTGGGTTTTTTCCCATTGAGAAATCAGTGTGTGGTGTTTTGTTTTGGTCTTTTATGATTGTTTTGTTTTTTGTTGTTGGGGTTTTTTTTGTTCTTGGGGTTGAGGAAGAGATTATCAAAGATTTTCCTTTTATGCTTTAGAGCAAACAGGGCTAGCAACAGTTTCCTTTGGTGTCCATATACAGCCCCCGGCACATGTTCATTTAATGGCACAATGCAATCTGATCCCCAATCCCACCAGTTGTGCTGCCTGCCATGCCACACATGCATGGCAATAGGCATGATTCTTGGGACTGGTGATCAGATCTCATTGTGCCATTACTGTTTGCCCAGGCTCCCCTGCACTGGCAGATTGAAAGGCGAGGAGTGCCTGTGAGTCTGTCTGGGGCTGGCAATTAGCTGATTGTCAGCTGTAGCCCCTCAGACCACACCAGGGACTGGACCTGGCTTTAATGTGGGAAGCTCGTGGAAGATGCCTCAGCCTGATATTTAAAGTTCTCTGGAAGTACCCAGGGAGTTTTAAAAAGCATGGCTGCAACTCAGCTGTAGGCATGCTCTTTAAAGCTCCTCATGTTCCATGGTGCCTCCAGAAATTGGTGGGGGAGAGGGAAAGAGGAGCATCAGGTCTTCAGGTTTTGGCAGGTGATAGGGAGAAGTGAGTACTCAGTAGAACCAGAAACTATTATAAAGTAGTTGTTAGGTCACTGATTGATTTAATTTCCCTGCTTTCTTCTTGTAGATATCGCCCAGTCTGGGTCCCTATATGCACAGGGAAATGCTTTGTTTGATATCGGGGAAAATTTCAGGAAAGTTTTAATGCAGCAATTATGAACATCTGGAATTACCAGATGTTATGTTGTTTCTGGGTGTTTCCCTTATGATAATCATTTCAGCAATCGGTGTTTCCCTTATGATAATCGGTTCAGGTCATTTGTTGATGCAGATCTATCAGCAGACTTTGTCACCCTTGACTGAAGTTTGTAGCAAAGGTAAACAGAGTTGCTCCTAAATGGTTCCTTTTTTATTGGGAGGCCCTAGAATAGTAATATAGTGTGAACAACTCTGAATATGCCGAAGAGTTCTTGCATGGTTCTAGTGTGCAACTCCTACTCAGATCCAATATACAGCTTTTAGGGGAGATGTTGAGGTGATGTGGTTTCTAGGGATGCACCAATAGAGATTTTGGGGGCTGATACTGATAGCCAGTTTTTAAGGAGACATATCAGCTGATACCAATCCAATTTCCAGATTGCAGCTAGTAAGTCTGTTGTGGTGGACAGGGAGAGGGGAGGGAAGGGATGTGGGGGGGGGGCAGATCAAGGCCCCTGTGGTGAGGGAAGGAGTGGGGCTGGCGCAGGTGCTGCCCATTTGGGGCGGGGTGTGGGACGGAGCTGCGGCTTGTCCAGGGGGTGTTGAGGCGGGGGGTGTGGAAGCTCCTGCTGCTGCATGCAACCTGGGAGGGCATGGGCAGGGGGACATGGCAGGCTGGCACTGCTGGTTGGGGCTGGGAC